GCCATGGGCAGCTGTGCTGCTCCCCCGGAGAGGGCGCCAGAAGGCAGGCAGAAGCCGGGTGTGCAGCCGAGTGCTTGGACCCCACACCCGCGGGGCCTGCCCTCACCTCACTGGGCACCTGCACACTGGCCTGGCGGGGGAGGGGGGACGCGGGGGTCGGGGGCGATCCCTGCTCACCATCGGCCTGGCTGTTGCAGGCTGGGAAGAACTGGATGTTCAGCAACGCCAAGTCCCCCCCTCACTGTGAGCTGATGGCGGGCCACCTCCGGAACCGCATCACAGCTGATGGGGCACATTTCGAGTTGCGGCTGCACCTCATCTACCTGATCAACGATGTGCTGCACCACTGGTGAGGGCCCCGCCTTGCCCCCCCCCACCCCCCACCTCCGGCCCTCTACTGTGCTGCCGTTCTGCACTCAGTAGCTGGGCCCGGCCCAGGACCATGGGGGTCACTTGTCCAAAGACCCCAGAGGAGGGTTGGTCTGAGCCATGAGCCATCCATCAGGAGGACACCCCACCCCCCCCTACATCTTGGCCCCTTCCCTGGACCCTTCACTTCACCCGGGCCACCATCCCCTGACTCCTTACTCTCCTCGGGCAGCTTCGGGGTGTCTCTCGGCGTCTGTCTGTGTCAGCTGCCCACTTCTCTTCGCTGATATACACACACACACCCTCTTCCTCTCCCTCTCGCCTGACTCTGCGCTGCTGCAGGTCCCTCCCGTGGGGTCCTCTTTGCTGCCCTCCGTCCCACCCCCACCACACACACAGCCCTCCTGAGGCCAGTCCAGTGTTTACTTCTGCACAGCCTCTCTGGTACCTTATGATAAAGGCTAACTTAAAAAAAAAATAAAACCCGCGGGCCAAAGGAGGCCCAGGGAGGAGATTGGCAAAAGAAGCACATGTTGCTGGTGAGGCTGCTGCTTAGCCGTCAAGACTGGCTGCCAAGTTTGGCTTTGAGCTTGGCCTGGCTGAAGGGGATGGCTCCCTCGAGAGCAGCAGAAACGGCCTGCCTCTCCCCCGACCCTTACCCCATCTCGCCCCATCCCGTGCCGCGAGTGTGCGGCCTGGGTCCCCACCTCTCCGCTCCCTGTTTACTGTGCCACGTAGACGGCTCTGTTACCGTTCGGCTGCTCCCTGCCTTGTCCCTCCATTATTTTTCTGCCGTTGGGAAATAGGCAGCTGCTCAGAACCTTCTCTGCTCTCCTGCTTCCACCAGCCGCTGTGCTGCCCAGGGCAGCTCTGCAGAGACGGCCCCGTTTCTGGTAGCTGTCCAGCCACGCTCCTCCTGAGCTCTGCTCTGTCCAGACGCCCAGTGCCGCTCCCCGTCCTCCCCCCTGGACTGCCCTCCCCTCCTCCCCTCCCATTCCTCTCCCCGGCGCTGCGCTCCTTGCTCTCTCGGAGCACCCTCTGGTGAGCTAGGTGCTGGGAGGGCCTTGGGCTGCTCACTTTCTGCCCTGTGTCCTCCTCCAGGAGGCAACATGTCCAATCAGACTCTGCCCCCTAACGGCCCCCACACGGCCATGCCCATTTACACACAAGCGCCCCCAGGAAGATGTGAGGACAGGCTGGCTGGCATGGCCGGCACGCTCCCTCTGCCACCTGAAACGCGGAGCTCGGGCCGAGATGTCCTTGCGCACAGGGGGTGACAGGGCTGAGTGAGGCCCCGCGGGCAGCCGGGGTTTCTGCGGGCCTTGTGTCCGTCATCCTGGGAGGAAAGGGTTATTTTACCAATCAGGAGATGTGGGTGACAGCCCCTGCCCTGAAGGCCCCCAGGCTGTTCTTTCCCTCCTCCCACTGCAGTCCATCTGTCACTTGGGCCCAGGCACCAGCATGGGTCTTATGGGGAGCCCAGCCCTCGTCCCGGCCGGGTTGGGGGCCCGTGTCCTGAGAAGGCAGAGGGTGCTGTCGCTGGAGCCGCAATGGTAACGGGCGCGTGGCCGGGTCCCGCCCCAGGGCCCTGACGCGCGGAAGGTCTCTCCCTCACAGCCAGCGCAAGCAGGCCAGGGAGCTGCTGGCCGCCCTACAGAAAGTCGTGGTGCCCATCTACTGCACCAGCTTCTTGGCCGTGGAGGAGGACAAGCAGCAGAAGATCGCCCGGGTACGTGGGGCAGCCGGGAGAGGCGGGGGGCGTGGGGGTGCGGGTGGCTCTGGATTTCCTTCTGACGCAGCCTCTCCCTCCTCCCCCACATCCAGCTCCTGCAGCTCTGGGAGAAGAATGGCTACTTTGACGACTCCATCATCCAGCAGCTCCAGAGCCCGGCCCTAGGACTCGGCCAGTACCAGGTGGGCGCCCCCTCCCCACCACGCCGCTCCCTGGGACCTGGGTGGCTCTCGCCAGGGCCCGGAGGGTATGGAGGGTATGGCGGCTGCCATCCCGGCACCGTCCCGCAAGTCGAGGGCACCGCAGCCCCCGCCTGGGTCGGGAACTGCTGACGGGGCGGTGATCTCAGAAGCTGCGCCTCTCCGGGAAGGTGGTGAGCAGTGGCAGGTGGGGTCTGAGCAGCGGCCTATGGGGACTCCTGCCCCGTCCACAGTAGCCAGGGAGCCCCACCCCCGGCGAGCCTGCCTGACTCTGTCCTGGTGCTCTCGTGACCAGGTTGCCCTGTTCAGGCCCTGCTGTTGGCTTCTTGGCCCTGGTCCTCCAGGCTTGCTTCCACACAATGGAAGCATCAAAAAGCCTTGACAGTCTTCAGCTGCCATGGCCCTGTCGTGCATAGTCAGTGCTCCCTATGCACACGTCTGCCTTTTCTCTGGGGATGGGGGTGCAGGGAGGGGGGACCAGCCAAGTCTCCTTGGTCACCCCTGCTCTGGCACCGGCATCGCTGCCCCATCCACGGTTGCTAGAAGAAAAAGCAGAGCTCTTCCCCGCTTTGGTCGGGCTGAAAGGCATCACTTCTGTGCAGAGATCTGGCGCACAGCATCTGAGTGTCAGAAGCTGTGTTGACTGTGTCCTCTTGATGGTCTCGAATGCTACCTCCCCACAGGGGAGAAGTTTTCCTGCTCAGAGAGACCGATGAAGACAGTGCATGTTGTAGTTTTAAAAACTCTTTCCCACTTTTTTTTGTTGTGAAAAAAACATACCTTGTCACACTGACGTTAACTGCTTTTTTCTTTTGAGTTGGTGATAACAGCTCATGTTCGTGGCACTGCCCTAGGCCCTTTGCATATGTTATTTCACTGAGTCCTCCCCACAATCCTTGGAGGTAGATTATGTTACTAATTTTACAGAGGAGGAGTTGAGGTTCAGGGAGACTGTGACTTGCTCAAAGCTGTGTAGCAAGTGAACATTGTGGCCCGTGATCATGGCCTAGAATTTTGTCCGTATTGTGTATGTGGGGTTGTTGTTTGGATTTTTTTTTTTTTTTTTTTTAGTTTATTTTGAGAAGGACAGAATGTGAGCAGGAGAGGGTCAGAGAGAGAGAGGGAAGTGAAAATTACAAGCTCACAGCGCAGAGCCCAACCCAGGAGACTCAGACCCACAAAACTGTAAGATCATGACCTGAGCCGAAATCAAGAGCTGGTGGCTTAACTGAGCCACCCAGGCACCCCTCAGGGTGTTTTTAACAGTCGTGCGACAGTCAAGGCCACAGCTGTTGAGGCTTGTGCCTGTTATTAGGGAATTACAAACTTAACTGCAACGAACATTTCTTGTCACCAGTTTTTGTCTAGATTTCGATGCTCTGTGCTTGTCAGGACTTATGTGATGGTCACCTGCCTGCCTACTCGGGGCTCCTGGGCCTCACTGCCCAGCGCACCATCCCAGATTCCGGGGGCTTGCCAGGGTTTGCTCTGGAAGTTCCGGAACCAGGCAGCGAGTCCTGAGTGGCAGCTGCTCTCCTCTCTCTGCCAGGCAACCCTCATCAATGAGTACTCCTCGGTGGTCCAGCCGGTGCAGCTAGCTTTTCAGCAGCAGATCCAGACCCTCAAGACGCAGCACGAGGAGTTTGTCAACAGCCTGGCCCAGCAGCAGCAGCAGCAGCAACAGCAGCAACAGCAGCCGCAGATCCAGCTGCCACAAATGGAAGCTGAAGTCAAGGCCACCCCACCGCCACCTGCCCCGCCTCCGGCCCCCACGCCCACCCCTGCCATCCCACCGACCACCCAGCCTGGTATGTGGCTCCCTCAGCACCCACCTGGGGAGGCAGCTTCAGGAAGGCAGCATTCCCCCCCCCACCGACCCCTGCCCGCCCCGAGAGAAGGGCTCTGGTTCTGTGGGCCCTAAACAGGGCCCAGTCCTAGGGCCAGATTCTAACCTGTTTCCAAATACTAGGCCCAGAGGTTTCACAGGCAAACATGACTAAATCCTTAGAATTCAGAGGATTCCTTTCCTGTACAAACTAACCCAGAGAACACAGAGCAAGGAAAGCTGCCCGTATTTTGAGAATAACTTAAATCAGATGGACAAAGACCTAGAAAGAATTATAAAGTTCACGTAGTTTCACTTCTGAATACAAACACAGAACTACTTAACGCCTGAAATCTAGCGAAGTATTTAAAACTACATCATGATGAAATAGGATTTGCCCCAGGAACGCAGAAGGATGGTTTGACACGTAAAAGTCTCATGAAGATAACAGATGAGCTGGGGAAAAAACAATCTTTCAAATAGATGCAGAAAAGATATTTAATAAAAGTCAGTAGTGAAAATTTTTGAGCAAACGAGATAGAGCAGAAGTTACTTGTTGTGAAGTTTTCAAAGGAGGGCGTGTGTCCTGTGTGAGGTCAGTTCCCCTGCTTCTCACTGCCTTCCCGAAGGCGATCACTTTCCAGTGGGGTCCCGCGGTGAAGATGTCCTGAGAGGTAAGGGTCCCGCAGTGGTCACTGATCCTCTTTTCCGGCGGCGCCTCCTGCTGACCATTGCCCTTGCTGACCACCTTCTTGCTGGTTCTAGATGACAGCAAGCCTCCCATCCAGATGCCTGGCTCCTCTGAGTACGACGCCTCGGGAGGAGTCCAGGATCCTGCCACTGCTGGCCCCCGGGGCCCTGGGCCCCACGATCAGATCCCACCTAACAAGCCCCCATGGTTTGACCAGCCTCATCCTGTGGCTCCTTGGGGCCAGCAGCAGGTATTTTCCCAGGTGGGCGTGGGTGGGCCGTGTCCTGTGTGGGTGGGTTTGGCTTTTCGTGGCTTGCTGGGGCAACCGGAGGTTCTGCAGCGGGGCCCTGGGCAGGGCATGTGGGGGAGAGAGACCAGCCCTGTATTCCTGGGGGGCAGGGGCAGAACAAGGCAAGTCAGGTGTTCACACCCATCCCGATGCTGACCGTCCGGGCTCCTTGGGGACATCGGTCCCCATGTTGGGTGAGGGCTGGGGAACCTCAGAGGGTGAAGTACAGCCAGGTGAATGGTTTCTGCCCCGTCTGTAACTGGCTCAGCTAGCACAGTGCCAACACTCTGTCGCCCTGAAAAGAACACAGTGCTTGCTTAAGAAACAGGAAGGTCAGAAATGTAAAGCTGTGGTGCTTTCTGGGGCAGAGATGCTGGTCTCTCCTCTGCTTCCCTGGGGTCAAAAATTTCTAGGCCAGGGTCATTTCATCCAGCTTTGTGTGACTGGGGAACACTGGAAAAGATCCACTTGCTCTCTGGTCACTGGATCTGATTAGACAGAGCTTTTAGGCATAGCCCCGGGCCATTCCTGGGTGTCCACTTCCCCCTGACGGGGCCTAGTGGTTGCAGCCCTGCCAGGGGACTCTCTGGAGGGGGTGGGAGACAACTCTGGACTGACAAGGGGGGGGGCTGTGGCTTTGCATCCCTACCCCCCCACCCCAGCGTCATGATAAGAGGTTTGATTTCACAAAAGATTGGGCATTTCCACAAAGACAACTTGCACCTCTTGAGTGCCGGCTGTGAGCCATGTGGTTTTGGGGCATTTTACGGTTGCCCTCTACTGAGGGAACAGTTCCGTCCCCGTTTTGTAGGTGTGGAAAACAGAAGCCCTCAGTGTCTCCAGGCTCCGCCTTCTCTCTGGGGACTGGCGGGATGGGTCGTGACAAGGGGCCCCTCACTGAGGGGCTGCCCCGAGGCAGAGGTACACTTGGCCTGGCCTGACCTGCCCACATGGTGTCTTACACAGTTTGAAGTAATTTCCATGTTTAAAGTCTGACTCTCTAACTTCTCGAAAGACTTGAGTGTGGTGCGGCCTCAGCCCACCTCTGTGCTGGTGGTTAGCGGAGCGAACCAGCTGTGACCCTGGAGATGGCCCTCTGGTCGACCTTCTGGGCACCTTCCCCACTGGCCTTGAGTTTGGGGTCAGAATCCCAGTTCTCAGCCTCACAGCAGCAGTTGCGTGAAATCCTGAGCTTACGTTCTCTCCCTGCAGGACATTCCCTGCTACGGGCCCCTGGGAGCCCCTGAGACTGGATTGAGTTCATATGGGAGAGGGCCTGGAAAACCTTGCAGGACAGAGGGGAAGTGACAGGGAAGGGAATGTCATCAGGGCAGGTGTCCGCAGCCATGGGTCCCCGGGCCCAGCTGCTCTGCAAGCCATGGGAGAGGCATGTGTGCGCCGGCCGCCCAGGGCCAGGGGGGGACGGGAGTGCCTCGGCCGGCCTCTGTGTCTGGCTGCTGTGAGGCACCAGGGCCCTCCAGCTGAGACGCGGGTGTGGCAATGCGGGTGTGAGCCCAGGGGTGCGCCCCGGGGGCACAGTGTACGCCATGTGGCCCCTGGGTCGGGACCGGCCGCCTCCACGGGCCAGGCCACTGCTGCAGAGGGGAGGCCAGTGCCGGCCCGGCCTTGGGGGGGGGGCTCACGTCCACCCTTTGCCTTGCAGCCTCCCGAGCAGCCCCCCTACCCGCACCACCAGGGCGGGCCGCCCCACTGCCCACCCTGGAACAACAGCCACGAGGGCATGTGGGGCGAGCAGCGTGGGGATCCCGGCTGGAACGGCCAGCGGGACGCGCCCTGGAGCAGCCAGCCCGACCCCAACTGGAACAGCCAGTTCGAGGGCCCCTGGAACAGCCAGCACGAGCAGCCTCCATGGGGCGGAGGCCAGCGCGAGCCGCCCTTCCGCATGCAGCGGCCACCGCACTTCCGGGGGCCCTTCCCACCCCACCAGCAGCACCCACAGTTCAACCAGCCGCCGCACCCCCACAACTTCAACCGCTTCCCGCCTCGCTTCATGCAGGACGACTTCCCCCCGCGGCACCCTTTTGAGCGGCCGCCCTACCCCCACCGCTTCGACTACCCCCAGGGGGACTTCCCCGCTGGTGAGTGCGAAGGTGCCCCCCGTGGGGATGGTCCTCTGTCCCGAACACGCCCTCCCTCTCCTGCCCCTCGTTCCCATTCCTTGCTCGGAGGAGGTGCCTGACGGATCCCTCTCCAGAGCAGGTGCTGCTCAGGGTCATTGCCATGGGACCTGGCATGTCCCCTGAGCCCTGGTGACAAGCAGGGGCTCACAGGATGGTGTGGAAGCCCAGGCCGGGCCCCTGGGACAGTGGGGAGACGAGCAGAGGCTGGCGGCTCCGGTGGAGGCACGTGCCACTGCGCAGGCTGGCTGTCAGGGTGTGAAGTCCTGTCCTCGCTTCTCACATGGTCTGGGCGGAGGGCGCTGCGTCTGTCCGTCCTACACGGGGGACACGTGAGGGAGGACGGGCTGTGGAAGGAGAGCAGCTCCCAGGCCCCACAGTGGACGGGGGGAGGGGGGGGTGTCCCTTCGGGGCTACTTGCCTGGCTGTTTTCATCAGCTTTTCTAGTTTGTTGCTCCTTTTTTTTTTTAAAAAAGAATCTCTAGCTTAGTTGACTTTTTAAAAAACTTCTCTGTCGTTCCTTCTATGTTTATTTTAAAACTCATTCTTGACCGTAAATGCAGTTGACCCCACAACATTCACTGCCACATTCACTGTACGGGTTTCCACGGGCCGTTGTCACACAGCGCAGGGTGGCCTGGCCCCTGCTCCAGGGGCTGAGAGAGCAGGGGGTCTTCTCCCCATCTCCAAATACAGTCACGGCCTGGGGACGGGAGCTCGGTTCTGCCCATAATGCTATTCTTAAGGTTTTGTGATTTCCCTTCGTTCTTTTGCTTTGAGCCCCCGGGGGGGGGGATGTGGGTGCAGGACCAGCCCCCCCGGACCCGGTTCTTCCCCACCTGGCTGAAGCACCCCAGCTAGCCAGAAGGTGCTTGGCAGGGCTGCCCACAAGCAGACATCAGCATCTCTGCTCCTCACTGGTCCTCCTCCCGCGGGAGATCTCATAGATCATATACATCTTGATTGTGCCGTCAGCACCACCCAGCTTGCAACCCCTGGCGGGCCTGAGATGAGTTTCTGTCTTGCAGAGATGGGGCCCCCTCACCACCACCCTGGCCATCGCATGCCTCATCCCGGGATCAACGAGCACCCACCCTGGGGTGGGCCCCAGCACCCTGACTTCGGCCCTCCTCCCCATGGCTTCAACGGGCAGCCCCCCCACATGCGGCGACAGGGCCCTCCCCACATCAACCACGATGACCCTAGCCTGGTCCCCAACGTGCCCTACTTCGATCTGCCTGCTGGGCTGATGGCCCCCCTCGTGAAGGTAAGGTCACCTTGGTGATGAGCACCTGTTCGTGCTGGCGCCTCTGTGTCCACATGAGAAGTACGGCACCCGCTTCCCTGCAGGCTACAAAACTGGCTGCAGGTTCCCTTCCCTCTGGGTCTACACCCAGCCAACCTTAGTGGTCAGTGGGAATGTGTCCAAACCACTGTCTCTACCTTGACTTGAATTCCTGGGGCAGAAACGAGCAAGGCCACGCCCTCCTTGCCTGATCCACGTTTCCCTCCCGGCGCCCCAAGTTCGGTGGCCACGCGCAGCGGGCTGGGCCGGGCTGGGGTTGAGGTGCGGTCCTCTTGATCCTGGCCCTGGGAAGCCACTTTGTCCAGCGGCTGACGGCAGGTGGATTTCTCAGAAAGGTGATGTGGTCTCTGAGCTGGGCCTGCGGAAATACAGGGAGGGGCAGCGCTGGGGGTGGGGAGCAAGGTTGGGTCACAAGCCAGCTCGAGAGACGTGCTGAGAGAGGAGCCGCTTCCCATCTAAGCGGAGGCGCCATCAGCCTGGCAGGCGAGAAGGGTTGCTCCGGGGCAGCAAGGGGGCGACCAGCTGAGCTGGTTTCTGGCCAGGGGGTTCCCTGGCTTGGGCTGAGGCTGCTCTGGCCCGGAAGGGGGCCTGGGTAGGAGGCGGGGGCACGGGGCAGAAATACAGCCGTGTATGGGATCTGCACCGTGTCTGTGAACGAATCAAGGGGTCTTTCCGGCATCTCACGCTGGAGATTGGATCTCACGTGTTTTCTGGAGGGAGAACCCTGGCCTTTATTTGTTCCAAAAAAGTCCTCAACTGCCTCCTTTAAGGGATCAGATCCTTGGTGTGGCTGCAGCCCTACTGGGATTTCCCAAGAAGGGCAGGACGAGGGACGCCCGTGCCCTGGGTAACCCACACACCAGACCAGGCCCTTGTGCCCCCCACCCCACTCCCCGGTGCCCACAGCACCCTGGGCGGGCCGGAGGGGGGTGCTCCGGCAGGGCATGCGTGACACCCGTGTTCTTTGCTGCAGCTGGAAGACCATGAGTACAAGCCTTTGGACCCAAAAGACATCCGCCTCCCACCCCCCATGCCGCCCAGCGAGAGGCTGCTGGCCGCCGTGGAGGCCTTTTACAGCCCTCCGTCCCACGACAGGCCCAGGAACAGGTACAGGGCTCGGGGAGACCAGCGGTGCAGCTGGAGACGGGAGGGAGGCCCTCTGTCCCCTCTCCTGGCCTGACTCCCCCGACTTTATTTCACGGGAAAGACTCCATGCCTTCTTCCCAGGGTGGTGTGAGGCCCAGGTGAGGAAAGTGGCGGCCGGAACGACACTAGGCCTAGGGGCGCCTGGGTGGCTCGGTCGTTTGGGCGCCCGACTCTTGATTTCAGCTCAGTTCACAGACTCCCGGGTCGTGACCTGCCTTGTGCAGGCCTGTCCATCCAGGAGCCAGAGCTCCTCGTCCCCCATTAAGAAGATCGCGGGCCCTGAGAGCTATCTTGGGAAACACTGATGTGGAAAAGGCATGGGAGCGGGGCGTGCGGCCTGGCCTCTCAGCCCGCTCCCCCGTGCGAAGAAGGGCGGCCCCTGCCCACCCCGGCTGAGCGAGGGAGGGGAGGGCCGCACCCCGGACGCGAGCATTCCCCAGCTGGGTGCGGGAGGGAGGTGTGTGGAGTCACGCAGGGTCGCCCGTGTCTTACAGCGAAGGCTGGGAACAGAATGGCCTCTATGAGTTCTTCCGAGCAAAAATGCGGGCGCGGCGGAGGAAGGGCCAGGAGAAGCGGAACAGGTGAGCGCACTGGGGCCCACCCGCCGGGGCCCTGCTGTGCCGGCCAGACACGCCATCGTGTCATACCCCGGGCCGGCCTGTCTCCCCCGGTCAGGGGCAGGGGGAGGGCAGTCCGGCCCCTGCCCGGGCCTGGGGGCCTTTTCCCGCGGGGCCCGAGCACCGGCGCGTTGCCGGGGCGCCGCTCACCAGGCCTCTCCCTGCAGCGGACCCTCGCGGTCTCGGAGCAGATCCAAGAGCCGAGGGCGCTCTTCCTCGCGCTCCAACTCGCGGTCGTCCAAGTCCTCGGGCTCGTACTCCAGGTCCAGGTCGCGCTCCTGCTCCCGCTCCTACTCCCGCTCCCGCTCCAGGTAGGCAGCGTGGCGCCCGCGGACGAGGCCCCTGCGTGGCGCCCGCCGCCGCCGCCGCCGACCGCCCGCCCTGTCCTCCCCGCAGGAGCCGCAGCCGCTCCCGCTCCTCCCGGAGCCGCTCCCGCTCGCGCTCGCGCTCCCGCTCCAAGTCCTACTCGCCCGGAAGGAGACGCCGGTCGCGGTCCAGGAGCCCCACCCCGCCGTAAGATTTCTGTCTAACCTGTCCAGTGACAGCTGGTAGCGCTGGAGCCCTCTGATGCTTTGCTGTGAATGTTGAAACCTGTCGCTAGAAGATGTGCTCACGGTGGCCCGTGCTGAGCTGGCACCTCAGGGACCCCAAGTTCTAGCACGGTGACAGTGGCACCTCCTCGCCTCACCCCACGTCCTCCCCCTTCCTGTGGTAACGCTGTAAAGCCGGAGGTAGCGGCTGGGCCGTCTGACCCCCCTGGGGGCTCCACGCGGCCTGGCCTCGCTGCTCACCGCGGGCCCGGGGCCACCTTAGGGACCCCCGGCTGGCTGGCGAAGAGGACAAAGAAGAATGATAGAGCCCCAGGATGTGTGTGTGTGTCCTAACGCTGGTGAACGTTCACGTGCGCCACACGCTGTAATATTCTGAGACTTCTCATTCCAATAAATGTGTCAACTCGTTTTTAAGAAACGTAACCTGTCTTAATTTTAGTTCCTCGGCTGGTCTGGGTTCTAATTCAGCACCTCCTATTCCTGATTCAAGGCTCGGGGAAGAAAACAAAGGACATCAGATGCTGGTGAAAATGGGTAAGGTTCCTGGGAAGAACCACCACCCGCTCTGGGCCTTTGGGGCTGGGGAGCCAGAGAAGGTTCCGGCTTGCTGCCAGAACTTCTAGAAAGGGTGAGCCCGCAGGTTTTGCTAGGCGTTCTTTCTCACCACAGCAGTTACACGTTTGCAGACCACACGTGTGCATGTCATTCAGCTCTGCGCACAAAGTCCTGTTGAACTTCCCAGGTAAATGTGCCAAATTTTGGCTTTTGTGGGTTATAACCGCCCTCCCCCCTTTCTTCTTAAGGCTGGAGTGGATCTGGTGGCCTCGGCGTGAAAGAGCAAGGGATCCAGGACCCCATCAAGGGGGGGGACGTCCGGGACAAGTGGGACCAGTACAAGGGTGTGGGCGTGGCCCTGGACGACCCCTACGAGAACTACCGCAGGAACAAGAGCTACTCCTTCATCGCCCGCATGAAGGCCAGGGACGAGTGCAAGTAGGCGCTCTGCGGGCGGGAGCCCCGCCTCGGCCACCGCGTTGGCCGTCAGGACCTTCTATTGGCAATGACAAACGGTAGGGACAGCTCAGTTCTCACACCGTCTCCACCTTTGGGGAGCGACAGAAAAGGAGGCAGGCCACAGCATGCCTAGTGCCGGGCGCCACGCTCGGGAGCGCGGAGGCCCCGGGCCCCACCTGCAAACCAGCTCTAACGCAGAAGACCCGCCCGGAGGTGGCCGGGCCCACGCGGCCGGAGCTCCCTTCCCTGGGCGGTGCAGGGACGAACACCAGACCCTCCCCCCCCCCCCCCCCCCCCCCCCCGGGTGAGGATTCCTGACGCCTGAAGGCACGGACGCTTCGCACCTCCCCTCAGTCAGACCTGAGCTGCTGCTTAAACCAGCAGGAGCGTGTGGAGAGGCCCTGCGCAAGCGGCCCGGCGGCCCCGGCCGGCCCTGCCCGCCTGTACCCTGCCGTCGTGCGGGGGCCGGGGAAGCTTGAGCCGGGCGCCGGCTCAAAGCAGAAAAACAGACCCTTTTTGATTTGCAGAGTTAACAGGGGGCTCTTTTTGTTTTTACTCCAGATGTTTGGTTTTGGAGAAGGGAATGTTGCTGAGAGCATCCCAGTGAGGATCTGAAGCCTGGTTCCTCTGAGACACGCGGGCCCTTAGTTCATTTATTTTAGTTGTTCACATTGAAAGTTTTTCCCCAAACGTTAGCCATTTGCTGCACCCACAGAAACGGAGGTTCTGAGGACGCTGATCCGGGGCATCTTCGGGTCATGGAACGACACCCTCGGGGAGTCCGTACCCTTAGCGCCTCTGCTCGGGATTTTCACTTAGAGGAACCCACACCAGCGCTCTGCGGACCGTCAGCTCCGGGGTGTGGAGAGCGAGCTCCGGCCATGCCACCCCCTCCTCTGTCCTTGCCCTTGGCCGCCCCCAGCCACCACCGAGGGAGACAAGGCCAGGAGGGAGTGGCGTCTGCTGGGCGATGCTGGGGACTGGCCACGCTTGGCGTCTGTGGGCAGCTCGTGCGGTGCCGTTTATTTGTACAGAAACATTTTTGAAAAATTCTTTTCGATAAGATGCAGAGTCCTCTCCCACTTTTCAAGCTGATGTGATAAAACATTTGATTTTGTTCTAGATTTCCTGTAGCTGTGAATTGTTCAAACGTGTCTGATTCAGGATAAAATGTAAACACATGCTGTTAACAACTTCTTGTGGATTTTACTGTTTTGCCTTCAAATAAAAACTTTTTTTAAAGACTTTTTCCTCAGCGTGGTCAAGTTAGACGTGTGCTCCAGCTGAGTCGGGAGCAGGCACGCCCAGAACGCAGACTCGGTCCGAGTCGTGCAGTCAGGAGCCGTGTCCCGGTGTCTCGCGTGGCTGCGTCCAGCATGGTCACCTGGCCCTGGCTCAGCACACGGGACCTGTCGCCCCTCCCATGGGCCCCTGCTCACTGGGCAGCCAGCACAGAGGCTCCGTAGGGCTCCCAACGGTCTGGCAGCCTCCGTCAGTGGTGGCCGCAGGGCTCCCAACGGTCTGGCAGCCTCCGTCAGTGGTGGCCGCTCCACCGTGAGGCCGTTCCTGCTGGTCTGTGCGTCCTCCTGGGGGCCGGGCGCACGGGGCGGGGGGGGGGGGGGCCCAACCTCTGCTACAGAAAGCCAGAGCTGGGATTCCACGCAGCTGAGCCCTCAGCACCACCTGCCCCCACCACCATCACCTGGAGACCAACGTGTGTCACAGCCGGTGTACCGGACCAGCTTGTCGGCTCAAAGCCACGAATCCCGCCTCACCTCCGGTACTCAAAGCTCCTTCTTTACCTCCTCCAGGGCATCCTCCATGGACAGCGGGGCAGGCCTGTGGTGCCTGATGTACTGTGGGGCAGAGGACAGAGAGCTGTCACCAAGGCTGCCTCAGTCCACTGAGGCTTTGGGTGCTGAGGCAGTGCCTGTCCCCAGTGGCTCCTGGGCAGGTAGACACAAAATGGCGGCTGCCACGTGACGATGCTGTGGAAAGAAGAGGGGAGACGCACCCAGACAGCCTCTGGGCAGGGCACCTGCGAGGGATGGGCCCTGACTGGGTCTGAAAGGGAACATGGTCGCGGCTGGGGGTGGGAGCTGGCGAGTGGGGGCTACCAGGGGCGCCCCGGAGCACACAGGGCGGGGAGGAGGGCCCAGGGCAGCCCGTGAGGAGGAGCCATGGCGGGCTGTACGCAGGGGACATGGTCAGGTCCCTTCAGCCCTATCCCACCGACCAACGAGTATGACCAACTGAAGTCTGAGAACTCGGCGGGAGTACAATGGGGGAAACCGTTGAACAAACCACCTGTTTCCTTGAACAAATAAACTGCAAGGAAACATCAAAGAGATGGGGCAGGAGAAAGCTGTAAGCGGGGCTTCAAGTGGGCCACGGGGGAACGCCCACTCCCAGGCCCACCGGCTGCCAGCGGAAATCGGCAGGCAAAGGCCCTTGGGGTCTGACGCCGCTCAGAGCCGAGAACCACTGCTCTAACTGGGAGGCTAGAGAGACACCAAACAGCCTTGATGTACAGACTTTGGATTCTGAAGAAAGAAAAGCAACAAATGTTCGACGTGTGTGAGCCTAGTGGAAATCTAACCCTGGATGTCCACCGACAATAAGAGAAGTTCGTTTGGTTTTGGTATTGTAATATTGTGACCGTATTTCTCAAAAGTCCTTAGCTTTAGGAATTACACACGGAGATATCTGTGGATAAAAGGATAGAAATGAGCACGCAGAACAGTGTGGAGTATGATGCCCTCTCTATAAATACTATCGTATATAATACCTATCACGTCGTAGATTTCATAACATGTAGTATGAAATGTATCATATATTTGATATGAAATATCGTATATTTCATAATCTAGTTCATATCTTACATAGGGAAAATCGAAATACCGAGTTGGTAATAATTCTCCTTGAAATTATGGAAGGCTTTATAAATTACCTACCTCTGTAACAAGATTTTTACAAAACGAGAAAAAAAGTTTATAATCTAACAAAAGTTAAATTTGGGGAGAGCGAGAGGGGAGCGTGACATTCTTCACACTTGAGCCCACAGGACTGGGCAGATCTTGGGAAGGGTCTGCCCAGGGACAGGACCCCTCTCCCCGCAACCAAGGAGGTCACCTTTGCTCCAAGGTCACACACAGTCTGGCCAGCTGCAGCCCACACCGGGCCGCCTCTCACTGTCCCCGCCCACACCGCTCTTGCATCGGTGTCCCTGCTGCCCGGGCCGAGCCCCGTCCCCCTTCGTGTGCAAAAGCCCCTGCTCTCTCCCCCAGGAAGGGATGCGCGCTGGGTCACCTGTTTGGTTTCCTCCAGGGTGTGGTAGTGGAAGGAGTCTCGGTCCAGGGTCTGCAGGAGGGACACGTGCAGGTGCCGGGTGGCCTCCACGAATTGCCGCGTCAGGCTCAGCTGCTGCTTCAGCATGTCGTTGAGCGCCAACGCCGCCGGGCTGTAAGCTGTCAGGGCTGCACCAGCTGTGTGTCACTCCCGCCCTCCACCCGCCTGTCTCCCAAAGGGTACCCCCCCAACTCAGCAGCGCCCCCGTGCGCACGGCCAGGTAAGGATGCTTTCTGGAAGTGCGGCTACCAGAGGGACCCCAGGCCTGTCCCTGCGGGCCTGTGTGCGACCCTCAGGAGCTGCGCATGGGATGCTCAGCTCCCGGGCAGAAGCAGAAGTCAACTAAACGTGTTGACGACGGGAAGAAGTCTCATAGTGGCACCCCAAGTTCTGCAGCTACATGATGTGACTCCCGTTCACACCACTGGACTGGACGCTTACAGAGGAGGGGCGCTGGGGCTCAGACAGTTAAGCGTCCGACTCTTGGTTTCGGCTCCGGTCATGATCTCGTGGTTCATGGGTTCGAGCCCCGTGTCGGGCTCTGTGCTGACAGCTAGCTCAGAGCCTGGAGCCTGTTTCAGATTCTGTGTCTCCCTCTCTCTGACCCTCCCCTGCTCGTGCTCTGTCTCTGTCTCAAAATAAATAAACGTTAAAAAAATAAAAATGGGTAAGAGGTAAATTTTATGTATCTTTAAACACAAAGCTAAAATAATTAAAAATACAATTAAAGGGGCGCCTGGGTGGCTCAGTCAAGTGTCCAACTCTTGGTCTCAGCTCAGGTCATGATCTCATGGTTCGTAGAATCGAGCTGACAGCACAGAGCCTGCTTGGGATTCTCTCTCTGTCCCTCCCCTGCCTGTGCACGCACTCTCTCAAAAATAAATAAGTAAACTTTTAAAAATGCAATTAAAAATAAAAGCTTTAATTAAATTCAAAATACGTTGAGAAACAGCTGTGTAACTGTGAGAAATGACTTGTCAGAATACATGATAACAGAAAATCTTTTGAGGTAACAGTAAGCTAGCAGAAAGTTTTTTGAAAAGATAGAAACATTTCAATTGTTACAACCTTGTGTTTTAATATCTTCAGCTTTAAAAAAACTGAAAAGGGCAGGGACACCTGGGTAGCTCGGTCGGTTAAGCAGTCGACTTCAGCTCAGATCATGATCTCACGGTTCGTGAGTTTGAGCCCTGCGTCGGGCTCTGTGCTGCCAGCTTGGAGCCTGGAACCTGCTTCGGAGTCTGTGTCTCCTCTCTCTCTGCTCCCCCACCCCTGCTTGTGCTGTCTCTCCTGTCTCTCAAAACTGAATAACTTTTTTTTTTTTTTTTTACTGAAAAGGCAAAAAATTAACAGGTACTAGATGGACCTTTGTTTGTGTCCTTGGAGCCATCAGTGGCCCCGTGGGGACCTGATGCAGCCTGGGCTCCCTACGGCAGCTGTTGGCGGGGGTGCCTTCCCTCTGCCCCAGGCCAGACCAGGCCTCCCTAGGACCCTACAAGTCCCCCAGACTCCGAAAGAAGTCCAGGCCTGTGGCCGCCGGGCTGGCCCCCACTCTACCAGCTGAATGTCTTCCAGAGAAATACTACTATGTATTCTGGACGCAAAGGCTCAGAGGGGAGCACACAAAATAAAAGCAGCCCAGTTCGAGTGGGGGGCTTAGAGGCGTGTTACTTGGAACATTCCTGTTTTATCTGACACGTGTCCTTTGGCAAGACAGACCAAAGGTTCTCAGACACTCAGTCCATCATCAGGCATCCTAGGAACCGGGGCAGTTGCCTGTGACCATCTCACCAACAGACTCCCCAAACCCAGCACTAAAGTGGGGCACCACGCCTCCCAGGGTGGGTGTCAGTCTAAGGGACGCAGCTAAGATGCGTCCACTTCACCGCAAGGACCCGCTAAGTTAGACCGTTACCTTCTATGGAGTCCGCGCTGATAACGTGACTGGCAATGGGCACGGGGTCCACATAGGCACCTCCCAGGGCTGGCCCGATGGCCGCCACGCTGGCCCCTGTCCCAGAGACAAAGGGGGAGGGGCTGAGTGGGCAGGATTTGGAGCAACGACTTTCATCAATGGATGAAATAAGCAACACAGATCTGTACTTTCCTCTTCCAAACAGGACAGCCGCCACCTTGCCTTGTGAACCTCTTTTAAAACGTCCCCAAACCTGCCTCCACCCTTCTGGTGGCTTCTCCTGGTACAAGTCTGTTGAGCTGGCTCAAGCGGTCACCGCAGTCATGGTGGCCAGTCACTGTGGCATCGTGCCCTCCCCACCTTCTGCCCTCCATCTCTGGGGCCTCATGTGGGCTTTGGAATGTTTCCTGGGCCCTAATAAGCTGGGTGATTTAGACTGCTGTTTACCTCTTTCAGTATCGAGCCTAGTCTAGGAAAACGGCATCCACTAGGTCTTACTAAAGGGCTCTTTAAATTGCAAGATAATACAGACAGCAATGCACACATCTGTCATCAACTGGCTATGTTGTCCGGCAGTGGGAGGATGTGGAGAGGAACACAGAGGTTTCTGAGTCAGAAGTGGGCCCCCACTACCCTTGAAGGCCTTCTAGTGATCTGGCTTGGCACATCCGACTGGCTTTTCTCCCTGAGAGTGGTCACGACCTACCCCAGGGGGCAGCCCAGGCTGATACATGGCTAAGCCCCCAAATCAAAATGAATACAGGGCAATGAGAATTGCACGCCCTCGTGCTGTCGAGGAATAAGCTCTCGCTACACTGTGGGTATCCATCTAGATGAGAAGAAAGAGCGGGGGAGTGTTTAAAAGAAAGGGACCTTTCCATCCAGAAGGGCCGAGAGTGAGGCTGGACACCAGACAGACGTCTGGAAAGTCACGCCATCCATGAAGGGGAACGTCCCTCACACCACAGAAGAGAATTCACCACGACACACCGTGCTGGGACCCCAACCACCTGAGGGCTCGCTGTCCCAGAAGATGGTGTCACTCTCAGTGCTGTCCCCGGGCTCACCCTGGGCGCCACCAGCGTTTGGGGCGGGGCCATTTCCCGGCGGGCCAGCCCGGGCACCGCAGGACGCTAGCAGCACCCCGGCCCCCACCCAGTCATGACAGCCCACACCGGCTCCAACCTCGCTGAGGTCCCCGGGCACAGGCTTGCCACAGCTGAGAACCACTGCCTTAAGTCCTCAATTCCGACACCTTCCTGGATGTTTTAGAGCTCAGGAGGCCGTGGGAGACGCCCAGGGTGGCTGGCCCTCATCCTCGGAAGAGGAAACGGGGCACCAAAGTCCCCCCCCGCCCCAACTGGTTAACCATGACAGCCCACACCTCCAGACCCCGAAGGACACCCTGAAGACATTCCAAGGATGCCCCTGGCACGCACCCTGAGAGCCTGCGCCTCGCCCCTGCGGCCCGCACGCTTACCCTCCGCCCACTGGTAGGTGAAGGCGGGCTCGAGGGTCTGCACAGCCGTCTCCTTCATGACGACTCTTGTAACGTCCCTGACCCGCTTTTTCCAAGGCTTGAGCGTTGGCGGGGGAACATCTCCCTCCAGGCTTGCAGAGAATTCCGACAGAGTGCCCAGTGTCCCGTCAGGACACTCGGAACGGGCCCCTGACTCGGAGGCTGTCAGATCTGGGGACTGCTCAAAATCCTCCGCATAGACTGAGCTCGCTGTGCTGGCTATGGGCACCGGAGATGCTGGCCTCGGGCTGGAAGCACCCTCAGGCCCGGCCGAGGAAGGTGATGGCTCGCTCAGGTGCTCAGACACCTCACTTCCAGTGGTGTCCTGGGGACTTCGGCTGGATGCCCTTACCCGCTGGCCTTCTTTCTAAATGAAGGGGGACAGAGGTAACTGGAAAGTAGCTTTGAACGATCCACAGGCTCAAAGTACCACCGTGGCATTAGAATGGAGTGCAGGGTACCCGGGGAGGAGGGAGGGGGGGGCCGGGCCAGGAGGGGAGGGTCCACTCTGTTCCTTCAGGGACTCTGGGCAGGCCTAGTAAGGTGAGCAGCATGCTTGAAATGCTTTGGGGCTGCTGTATTTTAACTGATGGTGGGAGCATGTGCGGGTGGCATGCGGTTGAACTCTGCTACAATGTCACTATTATTATAACAGCACAAGCGGTTGCACAGCACGGAGGTTACTAATGCGGCAAGAACCCCAAGGGGGCACCATGACGAGCACAGGTCAGCAAGGTGTCGTGGAGCAGTTTGAGGGGGGACCCGCTTTTTTTACTTGAGAGAAAGAGACAACATGAGAGGGGGAAGGGCAGAGAGGGAGCGAGAATCCCAAGCAGGCTCCCCACTGTCAGCACAGAGCCCCACGTGGGGCTCAGACTCCTGAAACCGTGAGATCACGGCCTGAGCCAAGCTCGAGGGTTGGACGCTTAACCGACTGAGCCACCCAGGTGCCCTGTTTTTTTTTTTTTTTTTTAAGATTTTTTTTTTTGTCTCCCAAGTAATCTCCACACCCAACATGGGGCTCGAACCCACGACCCCAAGATCAAGAGTCACACACTTGGCCGACTGAGCCAGCCAGGCTCCCCGAAGTAGGACCTGCTTTCATCACCTGCCGCGTTAAGTTGCTTTATCCTGTTTTCACCTAAAGCAGGATCCTCACCTCAACATTCTGTGCAGTGGGGGCCGTCCTGTCCATTGCAGGACCCTGAGCAGCATCCCTGGCCGCCACCCACCAGACGCCAGGAGCACCCTCCGCCCCAGTCACGATAATCAAAAGTGTCCCGAGACCTGCCAAGTGTCCCCTGGGGTTAGGCTGAGAACCATGGGCCGAACTGAAGAGCAGCGCGGGCCAGCCTCTCCACGCAACCTACCCTAAAAAATGAAGGTGGCTGTACTTACTTCCTGTTCCAAGTCTGAGTTCTCACTGACAGCTGGAGCCAGATCATCGAGGGATAAAAGATTGATTCGAAAATCTGTAATTAAAAACGCAACATGACAACATTTACTCACTTTTTTACCACAGTTTTTACCATTATGTTATAGGCCCTGGGCTGAGGGCTAAGAACAGAAACACAGAAGTTTCTATATGCAGTCTCCATCCTTAGTAAGCCAGCACAGGGATCTACATGTGTTTTCTCGAACTAGTAAATATTTTCCACTTGGTACCCTAGACTGTGTCACAATTACTCAGCTCAATCCTTATGGTGCAAAAACTGCCACAGACCATGTGTGAACAAATGGATGTGGCTGCGTTCCAATAAAACTTTATTTAGGGGCACCTGGGTGGCTCAGTCAGTTAAGTGTCCAAATATTGATTTCGGCTCAGGTCATGATCTCGCGGTTCAGGAGTTCAAGCCCCTGCATCAGGCGTGCCGCTGTCTGTGTAGAGCCCCCTTTGGAGCCTCTGTCCCTCTCTCTCTCTGCCTCTCCCCTCCAAATAAACATTTTAAATTTTTAGTGTTATTTTTGATAAAGTGAAATGGACAGAGTATGAGCAGGGAAGGGGCAGAGAGAGAGGGAGACACAGGATCTGAAACAGGCTCCAAGCTGAGCTGTCAGTCCAGAGCCTGAGGCAGGGCTTGAACTCACAGACCGTGAGATCATGACCCGAGCCGAAGTCGGACACTTAACCACCTCAGCCAATCAGGTGCCCCAATATATAAACATTAAAAAAAACCCACTTTATTTATAAAAACAGACACTGGGCCAGATGAGTAGATGACAAATTCAGGGCCGGATGTGTGGTGCCAAGTGTGCACAAGGTACGGGGGGAGGCGGGGGGTGGGAGGGGACAACTCAGGCAGACAGAAGACTAGACCCGAAGTGTCATAAGTTCCCATTTAAAGCAACTTAAGTGTGCGGGAGCCCGAGGTGAATGAGCATTTGGCATGCCAGCAGCCGGTCACCAGTGCCGGAACACGTGGGTGCCAGAGGCCTGGGAGTCTAGAACCCTCTGTGGAGGTCTGGTGTCCAAACAGATTTCTGGGGGCCCAACAGATGAGCCCACTCCTCCAGGTGGATGGGCGCTGGGCATCAGCCGACGTTGGCAGCAGCTCTACTTTGAGGTTTAGTTCAGGCCCTGAAACATGGGCAGGGCCAGGGGTGTGAGAGGGTGTGAGAGAGAGAGAGAGACAGATCGAGTCCACAGGAACAGGCAGGAGAGGGAGAAGGAGAGGGGTCCACAACACCTGCCCCCGCACCTGCCCATCCTGGGCCCTAGAGTGACCCCCCCACCATCACCCCAGTCCTGGGGGCTCACGCCTCCTCCAAGCTCTCTGCCTCTGTCACCGCCATTCACGTGGGAGGAGGTCCAAAGACACATCCCTAGGGGCGCCTGGGGGGCTCAGTTGGTTGAGCTTCCGACTTGGGCTCAGGTAATGATCTCAGAGTCCCTGAGTTCAAGCCCCCCGTTGGGCTCTGTGCTGACAGCCCAGAGCCTGGAGCCTGCTTCCGAGTCTGTGTCTCCCCCTATCTCTGTCCCTTCCTGCCTGCACTCTCTCTCAAAAATAAACATTAAAAACAAAACAGAAAGGAACAAAAAAAAACAAAGGCACATGCCTGGACAAAGCCTCTGAACTAAATGACGTCCTGGCTGGCCAGAGCCAAGGCACTAGGGGGATTCTGGACCCGAGCACTTGGGAACACTACTGTCACGTCGGCCTAGCATGCATGCGCCTCCCGTAGTGGAGGACCAGCCGAGGGGCTTCACACGCACGGCCTCGCTTCTGTGGCTCTGCCCCCGCTTCACAGATGAGGAGACTGAGGCGCAGAGCACCCAGGACGGCACAACCAGTAAGAAGCAGGGCCAGGACTCCCGCCCCAGCTACTCAGACCGCAAACTCAGAATGTGCTCACCACTGCCGGCTGCCTCCCTCCCTCGACGCCCCATCTGGACAAGGGAGGGCGGGGCTGGCCACCGGGAGGGGACAGAGGGGCAGCCGGACCGGCAGTGTGGACAAACGGCAGAAAGGGAGGAAGCCGGGTCTGTGGCCTGCCCCGCCAGGCTACACCCACCTTCCCAACCACACGATGAGGGAGGTGACGTGGGGCCAGGGGAGCAGGGACACCCACTTCCCAGCCTCTCGGGCCCAAGGATCAGAGCCACTTACTACTGAGGGCCCACGTGACGTTCCATTCTGCAGGCGGCAGCCACGGAGGGAGCTCAAAGGGGTATCTCACCTCGGCAGCCAAGAGCCCAGCCCCCTGCATTCTCTGCCCTAAGGAGGGCACCAGAAGGGACCCCATCTGACGGCGATGCTTCTCCCCAAACCCCACCCCGACGGAGCTTCTCCTGCTGACGTCCTGCGGCATGACCACCCACGCTGTTCTGTGATGGGCTTTGGGACCCACGACCCCAACACAGCACCTTGGATACTGAGTATCTCAGACGGAAGCAACGTGAGAAACGGCACGCAATGCAAGAATCCTCGGCCCTTCTCCCCTGAAGCAGGTCGTGAGTCCGTCTCCAAGATGCAGGGACCCCAAGAGGAAACGCGGCAGACCTCGCCAAGTTCGCCCCCCTCTACCACCCTTAGCTCATTTCCTTGCGTCCGATCATGTTTTTCCAGGACTTTCCACTCCTCACCGAGCCTAGCATAACAACGCTCACACACACTTAACTTTTTTAAGGTCTTGTTTCCTTATGGAGGCTTAGGTGTCACGTAAAACTTATGAATATTATTTAACATCTACTTAGTAACTGTATGCTTTTCTCTCAGTCTGTCTTTTGTTGCAGAGCCCCAGCCAGGAAGGTAGAAGGGCAGCAGGAAAAAGGTCTGGTTTCATCCCCTACCACTGAGTCAGGAGCTACGGGTCACCCAGCACACAGGGCGCAGGGCTTGCATTGGCCTGTTTGCTGCCGTCTTCCTGACAACACAACCCTAGGCACGTGCCGGTGCCCAGCAGGCCCTCAAGACACAGTTCAGGGGCGCCCGCCTGGGTGGTCAGTCGTTGTGCGTCTGATTTCGGCTCAGGTCACGATCTCACAGTTTGTGGGTTCAAGCCCCACGTCGGGCTCTGTGCTGACAGCTCAGAGCCTGGAGCCCATTTCAGATTCTGTGATCTCACTCTCTCTGCCCCTCCCCTGCTCGTGCTCTCTCTCAAAAATAAACATTAAAAAAAAAAAAAAAAGACACATTTTAACTTGGGTCTCACAATGAAGCACCCCAGAGGGAAGCCATTAAGTGTTGAGTGCACATCTTTTTTCTTTCTCCTTTCTTTCTTCTTTTTAATATTTATTTTTGAGAGACAGAAACCAAGTGTGAGCAGGGGAGGGCAGGGGAGGGACAGAGAGAGGGAGACACAGAATTCGAAGCAGGCTCCAGGCTCTGAGCTGTCAGCACAGAGCCTGACGGGGGGCTGGAACCCACAAACTGCGAGATTATGACATGAGCTGAAGTCAGACACCCAACTAAGCCACCCAGGCACCCCTCTCCTTTCTTTCTTAAATATGTGTAATAATTTGGATAAAAATAATGTTGAATAATTTGAAATAACAGAAGTTTCTGATTGTGGCTGGTTAGAGATTTACTCCCTTTCCCGAATTTAAAAAGGAAAGGAGGTAAATTCCTCTTTCACCAAAAGAAAAACCAAGCTGCCTTTCTGTCAGCTCTAGATTTTGTCTTCAGGTTATTGCTCTGTCATTGGTCAGGGGGACTGGATGACGACATTAAAGACAGGACACAAATCTGACTTGGCCCCTCCACCAGGAAAGGAGGTCCAGAAGCAGAGTGGGTGGTGTGACCCACACACTCCCCAGGGCGATGCCCAGGGACACTCCACCCCGGGGACCCTCCAGGTGGTCTCGCCCTTCCTGCCTGGGGGGACAGGTGGGCGCAGGGCCACAGGTTACCGTTCAGGCTGTCGTCGGCAGCTTCTGAGGGCGACTCGTCACGAGGCTCAGGCTCACTCCTTTCAGGGGAAGAGAGCTTGCCATGTGGCATCCGCGAGGCCGACTTTGAGAAGGTGCCAGCGATGGATGGCGATGCTGTGCGGGCAGCTGCGTCCCCTGAAGTGCGAGGCCGTGGGGGGCGAGCTGTTGAGCGCACCCTGCAAAGGGTCCCATCTGCTGGCTGTGAGGCTGGCAGACGCGATGTCCGGAATGGCTTTGGGCTAGAATGTTCCTCACTGGGTAATGAAAGGACCTTTGGTTGAGTTGGGATCTGATCCTACTTCGGAAGAAATAAGTGAAGTTAATTATCAAACAGGTAATAAGTCCTCATCACTGAAAAACGTGGCCAGAGCAGGGCATGAGGCCAAGGACTGGCGATCAAATAGTCCTCTCTCTGGGCCCCTTTCTTTCTCTCCCCTCATCTCTGGGAGTCAAGGTACAACATTTAGACAAGATAATATCGGGACCAGAAATGCTCCACAAATAATCAGAAATATCACTTGGCTTTCAAACAAATTTGGTTAATTACACTTTTTCTAAATTAAGGCCCCTGAGTGCGTATCTAGGAGAGCCCGGGCCTGCAGCAGAATCAAAATGAATACGCAGATTTTTCCCCCTTAACACGCAACCTCCCCATCACTTTATATCCACAAAGATGGCTCGGATAACAAGGGTTAGCTCAGTAACCAGGGTTGGCACATCCGTAGACAAACTGGAACTCTCGTGCACTGCTGGGGGGAATCCAAAACAGTGCAGCTGCTTCGGAAAACAGTTAGGCTCTGCTTCAGGAAGTTACACACAGAATTACTACAGGACCCAGTAATTCCACGGGTAGGGAACTGAAAATGGACTCAAACAGATGCGTCCACAAAGGGTCATAACAGCACTATTCACAAATAGCCAAAGGGTGGAAAAGATCCAAATGCCCATCGGTGGATGGTGGATACGTAAGATGCAGTATATTCACACGATGGAATATTACTCAGCCATAAAAAGGAAGGAAACAGACGCATGCTCGAAAACATTACACTCAGGAAAAGCAGCCAGTCACATAAGGCCACATACTGGCTGATTCAATGTATATGAAATGTCCAGAACAGGCAAACCCACGGAGACAGAGAGCTAATTAGTAACTTCCAGGTGCGGGAGGGAGGGGAAAACAGGGAAGGATTATTTAACAGGTACAGGGGCTCCTCCAGGGTGGATGAAAACGTTCTAGAATAGGTGCTACACTGGCACAGCATCATGGACAGACTAAATGGCACTGAATTGTTTGTTTTAAAAATGTTAATGTTGGGGCACCTGGGTCGCTCAGTCGGTTAAGCGTCTGACTTCAGCTCAGGTCATGATCTCACAGTTCGTGGGTTCGAGCCCCACGTCGGGCTCTGTGCTGACAGCTCAGAGCCTGGAGCCGGTTTCAGATTCTGTGTCTCCCTCTCTCCCTGACCTTCCCCCTGCTCAAGCTGTCTGTCTCTCTCAGAAATAAATAAAACATTAAAAAAAAATTTTTTTTTAATGTTAATGTTAGGGATGCCTGGGCAGCTCAGTCGGTTAAGTATCTGACTCTTGATTTCAGCTCAGGTCATGATCTCCCGGTTCGTGGGCTCGAGCCCTGAGCTGGGCTCCCTGCTGACAGCATGGTACCTGCCTGAGATTGATCCTCTCTCCCCCTCTCTGCCCCTCCCCCGCTTGAGCTCTCTGTCTCTCTAAATAAACTTAAAAAAATAAGAAATAAAAATAAAAATGTGAATTGCAAGGTATGTGAATTTCATCTCCGTGTTGAAAACCAGAAATGCAGCTGTCCTGAGTTCCCTGGGTGGCACCGCTGAGAAGCAGGCGTGGGTCACTGCTGGGGATCAGTCACACAACGCGCTGACCTGCGCTGTGCACGCTTCCTCCAGATACTGCAAAGCTGCCTGATGTCCCAAATCCCGTCACCTACACGGCAGGCCCAAAGCAGGTGGCCGTGATTGGCTGGAGCCCAGCGGCTCCTTGTCAAATCCCTTCTTACGGGTGACAGCTGTTGTCAGGTCTAGCGCTGTGACGGAGCGCAGACGCAAAGCTTTGTTAAGAATGATACACTCAGGGGGCCTGGGCGGCTGAGGCTGTTAAGCGTTCGACTTCAGCTCAGGTTGTGATCTCATGGTTCAAGGGTTCGAGCCTTGCGTTGGGCTCTGCTGACAGCTCAGAACTTGGAGCCTGCTTCGGATTCTGGGTCTCCCTCTCTCTCTGCCCCTCCCCTGCTCACGCTGTCTCTCAAAAATAGTTATAAAAAAAAAAAAAAAAAGAATACATGCAAACTTACCGAGAATAGTTTTGTTTGTTCTTTCTCACTGACTTTGGAGCTGATGAAACGCTGATTCATGTATGTTTCCTTTTCTATAGAAGATTCTATCAAGCTTCCTAGCAACTCTTTCATTTCCTCCTCATCGCTGTCTGGAGAATCTAGTTTTCTAGTAGGCTTTTTCTCTTTGGGTGTTTGGAAACTCCTCTCTTTTCCAAAATGTGCTTCAGGGAATCGATTTTCAATGGGTGGTTCCCTCTTCTTTAGAAACCGACTGACCTTCCCACCCTGTGTGTGGCTCTCGGCCATGGGAACCTCACGGGCTTGCTTCTGGGTTTTATCTGGGCTGTGGGAAGGAAGCTCAACTGTGCTCCTGGGAAGCGCTGAACGTGCGCTCCTCAGAAGACTGTCCTCGGAGGTCGTCAGATCATGTGCCACGTCAGACAAGTCCATCTGCGCCTTCCGATTCATGATCTTGGTTTCCAACCGGGCCAGCTTTGTGAGCGCAGCGCTTGTTCTGAGCTTCGAGGCAGTGGTCGGGGGTCTCTCTGAAGACAGCCTGTGCCCACCCCCCACGACAGTATTCTCTTTCAGGAGTGAGTGTTTTACACCCATACTTTGGTTTCCTTTGAGAAATCTGCTGTGACCGGGTGCTATTTTGGTAAGACTTCTACCGATTTTCAAGTTTCTGATTTCTTCCATTTTCGAATCTTCTAAGGAAATATCACTAAAATCACCAAAAATACTGTGCGTGGGATGGCCGGTCCTTCTTACGGAAGCCATTCTAGGGGGTACAGAAAGAAAACATAGAGTAGGAAATCTCTGGTGTTCATACCATGCATTCAAACCTCTCAATGCCTCCCATTTTATTTTTTTAAGTTGATTTATTCTTGAGAGAGAGACATACACAGCGAGCAGGGGGGGGGGCAGAGAGAGAGGGGGAGAGAGAATCCCAAGCAGGCTCCGCAAGGTCAGCACCGAGCCTGATGTGGGGCTCAAACTCCCAAACTGTGAGATCAAGACCTGAGCCGAAACCGAGAGTCGGACACTTGACCGACTAAGTTACCTAGTCGCTCCTCAATGCCTCCCATTTTAAAGATTATATCTTTCTTTGCAGTCTCACTAAAGCTTTCCCTTCAAGCTCCATGATGACAATGAAAATGTCAATACCCTGTACCACTGGCTGAACTACCGTTCAATGCCAGGTCTTTTTTAAAATTTGTTTGAATTCAAGTTAGTTAACATAGAGTACAGGATTGGTTTCAGTAGAATTTGGTAATTCATCACTTACATAGCACACCCTGTGCCCCTCACAACAAGTGCCCTTCTTAATCCCCATCGCGGCCATCCACCCACCCACCTCCCCTCCAGCAACCTTCAGTTTGTTCTCAGCATTTAAGAGTTTCTTATGGTTGGGGCGCCCGGGTGGCTCAGTTGCTTAAGCGTCCGACTTTGGGTCTGGTTATGATCTCACTGTTTGTGAGTTCGAGCCCCACGTCGGGCTCTGTACTGATAGCTCGGAGCCTGGAACCTGCTTCAGATTCTGTGTCTCCCCCTCTCTCTGTTCCTCCCCTGCTCATGCTCTCTCTCTGTCTCTCAATAATAAAAACATTAAAAAAAATTTTTTTTAAAGAGTCTCTTATGGTTTGCCTGATCTTAATGGTTTTCCAGGTCTTAAATGAGACATGTTGCACGTCAGACAGAAGAGCCAACGCTGCTCAGGCTTCAACAGTGTCCCTGGTGCTCTGCTCAAAGCAATATATTCTGTTTTAATCTTCATGCAACCCTGAGGCAGTTAGTGTCGCCACCTCCCCCCGCCCCCCTCCCCGCCTCCCCTTTTACAGAGGAGGTGAAAGAAATAAAAGCACCTGAAGGTGAGGTCACCAGTTAAGGTCACCCATCGAAGTTCCCTGGCAGGTGGGCCACAGAGCCAAATTCAAAGCTCAGGTCCCATTCCCAAGGCTCCCTTCTTGCCTAAGAGCTTCACTGCACAGCCAGCTACACGGCCACTACTCAAGGAGTCCTACTCTCTGCTTGCTCCCCTAATCCGGGCCCTTCCTTCATCCAAGCGTCCTCAGCTCTCTCACAAAGAGCTGCTTCGGGGCACCTGGGCGGCTCAGTCAGTTAAGCATCCGACTTCAGCTCAGGTCATGACCTCACAGTTCGTGGGTTCGAGCCTCGCGTCGGGCTCTGTGCTAACAGCTCAGAGCCTGGAGCCTGTTTCAGATTCTGTATCTCCCTCTCTCTGACCCTCCCCTGCTCACGCTGTCTCTCTCAGAAATAAATAAAACATTAAAAAAACAAAAACAAAGAGCTGCTTAAAATCAATCTGTGTACTCATTGCCAAAAATCTTCCTTCACTTTAAGGGTCAAAACCACTGCCCTAGAAGGGTGGAGGGGTTACACACGGACACAGCACCACCCACCAAATGTCGCACATGCTGGCGAACAGCCTTCAGGAGAGAGGGATCAGTGCCTTTATCACATTCTCGGTGTCCCCTTGTGCCCTGAGAAAATAAAAAGTGACCCTCTACATGATTTAAAAAGGTACCAAAGAAGTTTAAAGTCTTAAAAAGACGGAAAAACAGGGCACGCGGGCTGTGTGTTTGCTGCAGCCCCTTTAGTAAGGGACCCAGCAACAGCAAGGAGAATGAAATGCAGAGCCTCCCCCCGCACCCGCCAGGCCCGAGCAATTGCACGTCTGGGAATTCCCCCCCCCCCCCGATTACACTCTCAAACGCACACAGACGTGTACGTGTAAGGAACGTCACAGCAGCACTGTCTGTGCTCCTCTCACACCCGAACCCATCCGCAAAGACCTGGGGAAACCCAGAAGACCACACGCAGCCAAGCGAGCACTATGCAGCCATGAAAAAGAAATGAGGGGCATCTGCGTGCATATTACTCCGTGAGGCCGAAAAGGCAAGGCGCACAGCTCGTTTCCATCTTGTTTGAATGTTTTAACAAGGCCCACGTGTTATGTTGTCTTTTTAAAAAGAATTCACTGTGAGACCTGAAAAAGCCCTTTTTTACCCCCCATCCCTGTCCACCTGGAAAACAATCTTAATAAAACTGCCAGATTAAATACAGGACACTAAGTGACGTGACGTGACGTGACTCTAAGATAAACAGCAAATCATTTTTCTTTTTTTTATAAAGAGAGACAGCATAAGCAGGGCAGAGGAAGAGAAAGAGAATCTTTAAGTTTATTTACTTATTTGGAGAGAGCCCACACGGGGGAGGGGCAGAGAGAGGAGAGAGAGAAGACCCTAAGCAGGCTCCGCCCTGCCAGCGCAGAGCGCCATGTGGATAGCTCCAACCCACAAGCTCTGAGATCACGACCTGAGCCGAAACCAAGAGTCGGACACTTAACCAACTAAGCCACACAGGTGCCCTGAGAAAAAATCTTAAGCAGGCTGCACGCTCAGCGCCACAACACTGGGATCATGCCCCAATAATTTTTAAGATAGAAGTATGACATATTTTTGGGGCGCCTGGGTGACTCAGTCAGTTAAACATCCGACTTCAGCTCAGGTCATGATCTCACGGTTCGTGGGTTCAAGCCCCACATCAGGCTCTATGCTGACAGCTCAGAGTCTGGAGCCTGTTTCAGATTCTGTGTCTCCCTCTCTCTCTCTGCCCCTCCCCTACTCATGCTCTGTCTGTCTCAAAAATAAACAAACTATATAAAAAAAAAGTATGACATATTTTTATACTATAAAGTAGTATGTTCCAACTAGTTTCACACTAAAAAATTTGTTGTTGATCTGAAATTCAAATTCAACTGGGTGTCCCATATTTTTATGTGTAAAATCTGGCAACCCCATGTCTTATGCACCTTTCAAAGCTGAACTCAGGGGCCGGGGTGGCTCAGTCCATCAAGTGTCCGATTCTTGATTTCGGCTCAGCTCATGATCTCACGGTTCATGAGCTCCAGCCCGGCATCGGGCTCTGTGCTGATAGTGCAGAGCCTGATTGGGATTCTCTCTCTCCCCATCTCTCTGTCCCTCCCCTGCGCTCGCTCTCTCTCTGAAAATAAATAAACTTAAAAAGCTTTTTTTTTAAAAAGCTGGCTTCAAATGTTTTGTGAAAGGAAAAACATTTAACCCGGCCCTAAGACTCTGTCTGTAGAAGAGTGAATTATTCTTCTTTGACTCTGTTTTTCTGCGTGGTGTGCTTGCTCGCTCATCCCCGTATTAACCACCCGGATACTTAGAGAGCCTGGCACAGGCCTGCCCACAGGGGTCGGTGAATATAGAACCAACCACACCTGACAGAAACAGTGTAGGATTCCTAGCCTGTGTGACACTGGGCAAGTTACTTGACTACTCTGTGCTTCAGTTTGCCCGTCTGTAAAAAGATGATCATAACTATTCCCTTCATAGGATTTCTATGTTCATTGTAGGACATGGAATAAAACACAAGAATTAGATGATGGTGTTTGGAATACCTGCATTAACGGGCTTTTAGCTGGAAGGACGTGGTAAAGACCAGTAGAGATGGCTGGAATGTCAACAGCTACCTTTGTTTATATTTTTGTAACGGAAGCTCAGGAGATGACTCTGCCTCTGCCATTCTGTGGGTCAGAGGGAAAGCCCCACCACCAGGCCAGGCTTAACAGCATCTAGTTCTTCTGAAAGGTTTCCCTAGGTTTCAAAAGAAATCAGTAATGGTTAAAATGGCAAAGTTTGGGTTATATCCATTTTGTCACAACTAAGATTCATATATTTTTAAAACACAATTAAAAATAAACCAATGGGCAAAAGATATGAACAGATATCTCGCTGGAAAAAAAACCCAAAACACACAAACGGCCAATAAGCACATGAAAAGATGTTCATCATTAACCATTAGGCAAATGCAAATCAACACCATCAGATCCCACTTCACAGCCAGAGAATGCCTACAATCAAAACTAAAGATGGAGCACGTGGGTGGCTCGTTCTATTAAGCCTCTGACTCAGGCTCAGGGCCTGATCTTATGATTCGTGAGTTCGAGCCCCGTGTCCATCGGGCTCCATGCTGATAGCGGGGAGCCTAGAGCCTGCTTCAGATTCTGTGTCTGCATCTCTCTCTGCCCGTCTCCCACTCACTCTCTCTCTCAAAAATAAACATTGAAAATTTTAAATAAACTATAAAATTGTAAAAAAAAAAAAAAAGGGGGGGGCGCCTGGGTGGCTCAGTTGGTTAAGCATCCGACTTTGGCTCAGGTCATGATCTCACGGTTCGTGGGTTCGAGCCCCGCGTCGGGCTCTGTGCTGACAGCTAGCTCAGAGCTTGGAGCCTGCTTCAGATTCTGTGTCTTCCTCTCTCTCTGACCCTCCCCTGCTCACGCTGTCTCTAACTCTCTCTCAAAAATAAAACATTTTAAAAAATTGTAAAAAAAAAAAAAACCTATAATAACAAGTGTTGGTGAGGATGTGAAGAAATTGGAGCCTTCATACACTGTCATGGGGGATTGCAAAATGGTACAGTTGGCAATTTGGAAAACAGTCTGGCAGTTCCCATGTAGCCCAAGATGACTGAAATGTATGCAAATGTTTATAATAATTATTATCCATAGGAGACAATAAGTGGAAACAATCCAAAAGTCCATAAGAAATGAGGTCCATCCATACAGTGAAATACTATTCAGCATTAAAAAATAATACAGATACATACAACAACATGCATACATTCATCTCGGACACATCGTGCTAAAGGAAAGTAACCACACACTGTACGATCGCGTTCATAAGGCTCATCCAGAAAAAGCAAATTTATAGTCAGAAAGCACATCGGTGGTTGCCTGGGGCTGGGCGTGGGAGCGAGGAGGGATATCCCTGAGTAGCCAGAAATTCTAAAGCTGGATCGTGGTGACGCTTGCTCCACTTGCTAAACTTACTAAAAGTAACGGAGTTGTACACTTACGAGGGGTGGGTTGTATGGTACGTAAACGCATCTTCAATAAAGTTGTTAACGATTAAAAAAAATAAAAAGCCTAACTTTGAAAACACGGGCGCCCCTCACCCCACCGAGCTCTTCCCACCACCATCCACCCCCCCCCCCCCCCGGCCTGGAACGACCCACCCCGGACCACGATCCCAAATGGGCCCCGACGGGAAACCAGGCACGAGGCGCGCGTCCGCCCTCCCGCAGCCCGACAAGCCTAGCTCCGGAACGCTCCCCATTTCCCGCAACTCCTCTCCCCAGGCCGGTCTCCAAGCCCGGCAGCAGCCGAGCCCACCCCGCCAACCTCTTCCCGCGACGTCCATCCGCAGAGGCCGCCGCCGCGCTCCCGCCTTGACACCCTGGCCGGATGGGACCGTTGCCCCCGGCAACTGCGCTGGGGCGGTAGAGACTACATATCCCGGCGCGCGCCGCGCTCTGAGGACCAATGGGGCCTCAGGTCATAATCGCGATGCGTCATGGGAGTGGTAGTGCCGAGGCGGGCCCGGCGTGCTTTGCGCGGTAGGGGGCAATGGTGCCTCAGGTCACAATCGCCAGGCGTGACGGGAGTTGTAGTCCTGGGACGGCCTGGCACAACGCCGAGACCGCTGGGAGTAAAGGGGTAGTTTCGAGAAGTGCAGCGCACCTCCCATGGATGTGGCTCCCGTTCCGCTGTGGGCGGTCTGCGTGCTGCGGGTGGCGCTGGCCACCGTCTACTTCCAAGAGGAATTTCTAGACGGAGGTGAAAAGGCGCCGTCCGTGACGGTGGTAGAGTAGGGGCGTAAGCCCCTCCGTCCTTTGCTGCCGGGTGGATAGCCGAGTCGCCATTAGCACCAGCCCATGGCCGCGGGGTCGGTAGTGGCGGAGCTTCGAAGCCTCGACGCCTCAAAGCCTCAAGCCCCCCTCCCCCCACCCCCCATGACTCAAATGATCAGCTTCAGCTCTAACCGGTGTTGTTTTCCCCCCACAGAGCGCTGGAGGAACCGCTGGGTCCAGTCCACCAATGACTCCCAATTTGGGCATTTTAGACTCTCGTCGGGGAAATTTTATGGTCATAAAGAAAAGGACAAAGGTTGGTGTAGGAAAAGTGAGAAAATGGAGCCAAATGTCACAAACACACACACCTCACCTCCATAGCAACCTTTCACGGCAGGTGTGGCCCATCCCTAGCACCTCTTACAGCCGGTTCACCGGAGGGAAAACTAAGGCTTGGATGGGGTCTGGCATTACTTTTTCTCTTAACTTTATTTACTTGCCCAAGATCGCCCCGCTGTGTACCAATTAGTGGCAGGAATTTGGAGACCCCAGGTCTTTGGCCTGCAAAAGGAAAATGACTAGGGGATACTTCTCATTTTTATTTCCTCCTTAAGAAGGAAAAAAAAAATCAAGCTAAAAGCTACATGCTGTCAGGTGTATGGATCTTAGGGGCACAGAAAGATGAATGTTTACATTTGTGCACCCTGGATCAGATAGGGAACGTTTTCAGAGGCCCCCATTCCTTTGCACTGCCCGCCCCCCAGGTCAGTAGCCTCCTGGTGCCAAAATAACTTCTGTCTTCTCATTTCTGACGATCAGAGGTGGACAAACTACATGCCTATTTTTTGCATGGCTGGTGAGATAAGAATGGCTTTTACATTTTTTGATTGCTGGAGAAAAATCAAAAGGGGAATGGTCATTTATAATGTATAAAAACTATACAGAATTTAGTGAACTATATGAAATGTCATGTGTCCGTAAGTAAAGTTTTAATGGAACACAGCCGTGATCAGTCCTTGACTTAGATTCTTGGGCTTTTCGCATACTGTAAAGGCAGTAAGTCAGCACAGAGACTGTATGGCCCGTGAGGTCTGAAATATTTGGTCTCTGGCTTAGCAGAAAAGATTTGCCAACCCTGATTTATTTATTTTTTAATGTTTTTTATTTATTTTTGAGAGAGAGGGGCAGCATGAGCAGGGGAGGGTCAGAGAGAGAGGGAGACACAGAATCTGAAGCAGGCTCCAGGCTCTGAGCTGTCAGCACAGAGCCTGACGCGGGGCTCAAACCCACAAACTGTGAGATCATGACCTGAGCCGAAGTCAGAGGCTTAACTGACTGAGCCACCCAGGTGCCCCATGCTGGCCTAATTTAGATGAAGAGTTTTCCTCTTCACCAGCCTTCCACTCCACCTCCACCTCGACTCTGCTGCTTCAATGCTATCCTCTTGGCAGCTTCCGGTTTTCTATTGCACATGCGCTGTTTCTTAAGTTACATGTTGACCGAAAGAGTTGGTCAAGATTCAGCCCGTAGGACAAAAATGGAGTGAAATGAACAGATTGTTCCATCAAGCTTGTCCAAGGATAGGGGTTTCCATTTGGTTTTTCTGCACCATGTTTTTTCTTCCTCCAACATGGAATCCTGAGATTCTGCATTTCGTCCACTCCAGCACACATCTAGTGAGAGCACGTGAGCAAGGCACTGGGGATACCGATTAGTTTGGCGCCTTTCATTGTGATCCCCAAGGGCCATCACACAGAAGCCATAGATGGAAAGATAAAATAGAATTCAGTCAGCCAGAAATGGGAAGAGGTGAGAGACATTGGGGGTGGCTGAGGAGGGTGGTGAGAGAGAAGGAGGTGGTGAATCTTGGCCTTTGGGTGGTATAGGAGGGGAGAGCCTATGAATTCTCTGAGAAAGGTGAGGGTGGAGAGAGAATGGAGGAGAGAGAAAGAGATGAGTACGGTAGTGGGCGGTCAGTCATGAGTTGAGGCTTGGACATATTGATAGAAAACATCAAGTGCGTTTGTGATGGATCTCTGCGTAAGCAGGTACGGGGGCAGGAATGTGGAGCAAGGAAGACTAGACGATAGTAAGACTGGCTCTGGTTTCCATAGTATAAGATAAGGATTTGGTACAGAGCCTACTGAAAAGGGGGGAGGGGTTATAAAATATGATATGATTCATGTGATATCTTTTATAAAAAGATGACAACTGTGGGCCAGCTCATCAGTGCAGTGAAGCACTGTTTTGAACAGGTCAGCGCTCTGTTCTCCATCCACGGTTGTGTTTCCTAAGCAATTATTTTAAGACAGGAATTAAAGAAAAGATGTGAGATGCTCTGGTGTTTAATGAAGTTGCTGCACAGGCTTTATTGTATATTCCCACCCCTTGGAGAATGAATGGAAGCACAATTAATTTATCATCTAAAGCTGAAGTGTTTTGGGGCACCTGGGTGACTCAGTCCCAGTTGAGAGTCCGACTTCGGCTCAGGTCATGATCTTATGGTTTGTGGGTTCGAGCCCTGTGTCGGGCTTTTTGCAGACAGCTCAGAGCCTGGAGCCTGTTTCAGATTCTGTATCTGCCTCTCTTTCTGAACCTCCCCTGTTCACGCGCTCTCTCTCTCTCTCTCTCTCTCTCAGAAACAAATAAAACATTAAAAAGTTTTTTAATAAAAAAAATAAAGCTGCAGTGTTTTAAGGTATAACAGTGGTATATTGAGCAACTGAGTGTGGAAATAGAAGTTTTATGGCAGCAGAGAGCCCGTTTGGGGTATGCCAGTCACTGTGATTGTAAAAATGTGTGTGAGGCCCTGGATTGATGTGAGTGGTTATTACTGGGGCCAGGGGGCAGGGCCACCATTTAATTCCCTGCAGCACTGAGCGCAGGGTCTGTCCTTCTGAATCTTTCACGACTACTTTTTGTTTAAAGGTCTGCAGACCACGCAAAATGGTCGGTTCTATGCCATCTCTGCACGTTTCAAGCCATTTAGCAATAAAGGGAAGACTCTGGTCATCCAGTACACAGTGAAGCACGAGCAGAAGATGGACTGCGGAGGGGGCTACATTAAGATCTTCCCAGCAGATGTGGATCAGAAGAACCTGAACGGAAAATCTCAGTACTATATTATGTTTGGTGAGTTTAGATAGCACAAAACAACCATTTCTGGTGACTTTGAACCCTTCCTTCCACTTGATAGAATTCCCCAGAGTAAGACTTTGCTGCAGGAGTAGTATTGAGTATATCCGATCAAAGGTTTTTAGTACTGTTAAGCCTAATTGATATTATAAAAAGGTAACCGTATCATTCTATTGTACTTTTGAGAGAGTTTATTCGTCCACTAGTAATGTAGTCCCAATTATTTGGAATACACCAGGAGTCAGCAAACGTTGGCCATGGGCCACATCAGCCCACAGACTGCGTTTATTATGCCCCATGAGCTGAGAATGGGTTTTAACATTTTTAATGATTAAAAAAAATTAAAAGCAGGATGATATTTTTGACACACGAAAATTATAGGAAAGGCAAAAATATTTCCTGTCTAGCCCTTGCTAACCCCCGGAATACATTAAATATCTCCTGATACTGGGAGCAACTGATGAAAATTTGTGCAGAATTGGCATGGGACCACACTGGGCCACAGGAACTAGACCTAGAACTGAAGTGTGTGGATGCAAAAAGCTTTCAGGATGAAGAGCATTCTGAGAAAATGGAATAGAAAGCACCAGGAATCCATCTCTCCACCTGGACAACAATCGTAACGACAGAATGGGATGCAACTATTTTGAAACTCCGAAGTCTGTGGAAGGATTGCTTCTTCCAGCAAAGGAAGAATGGGAAGGTTGACTTTGGCCCATTTCAGCTCTTAGCATCTTCCATTGAAGCCGCATGGCAGACAGCCGTGCATGTGCTCCTGGAGCAGCCTATACACAGCTTAGCCACAGCCAGGGTGAGCCAAAAGGACCCTGTTCTCCCAGTATCAGGGATCTGAACTCTGATCGCTGATCACTGCTTCTGATCACAGAAGTGCAAGGAGATGAACAGCAGAGTTTTGTGTGTTATTGAAGTTAAACTGGTATAAATTCAAATTAGAGCATGTTATAACTTTAAGATATCAAATGTAATCTTTGTGGTTCCTCCACAAAGGAAATAGCTATAGAATATCCACAAAAGGAAATTAAAAAGGAATTTAAACATTTCTCTACAAAAACTCAACTAAAAACAAAAGAAAGGGCGCCTGGATGGCTCAGTCGGTTAAGCATCCGACTTCAGCTCAGGTCATGATCTTATGGTTCATGAGTTAAAGCTGTGGTAGGGTCCCCACCCTAAGGAAATAAAAAAAAAGAACATCTCAAGGCAACCTTGCTATTTGCATATGTGACAACATCCCTCCCGACTGGTAACATGAGACCATTTAATCAGACTGTATGTTTGTGTGTTGCCATGTACGGGAGACAAAGAAGTAAAAAATATCTTTAAAAATACCATGCCACATGGTGTTCAGGGCTCAGTTCTTTGGGTATGAACCCAACTGAGTGATGCCGGCTGGAATAAAGTTGCTTCCTGGAAAGAAAAGCCTCAGTGTCATGACATGTGCAAGAATCCTGCTACAGAGCCTGGAGCCTGCTT